TACCACAGTCTCACGCCCGTCAAGATTCAAGGGGAGGAAGGAAGTACAGGACAGCAGGTTCCATGGGAGGAGTGTCACAGTCACATTATTAGAGGGACCTGAGGCTGGGAGACCTTGTCACAGCCATCTTGGAGGATATAACCGGCAACAGTCCACCCTCTGGCCACAACAATTCACATCCTTCCCACATGCTAAATATTCCACTTCTCGCCCTAACATGCCCAAGTATTATTCCATGATAGTGTCACGGCAAAGTCCAAGATCTCATCATGAAAATGATGTCCTGGAAGAGTGCTGTCCGCAAGATGGCAGACTAGGAGATGACAACTAGTCAGCCACTCAAGAAGGTAAATAGCCCTGCAAGGGCTCAGGAGTCCAGCTAAGTGTGCAGGGACATGGTAGAGTGAAACGCTGAGAATAATCACACAGAAAGGGGCACTGGGACATCGGCACGCCCAAGATTCCAGAGACATCTAGCAAAAAAGAAGGGCAGAGGCCACTGGTATCAGCCAGGAGGTGGCGCCACTGCAGCCCCCAGTGGCCTGCTCTGTGGAGGACCCCTGCTGACAGCCTCAACAGCACCCAAGGCCCCCTCCCCTGCAGCTGTCCCAGGGGAGGTCCCCTTAGTGTTCATTGTTGAGGATCACAATGGCTTCCTCTATAGAGGACAGTGGCACCTTTCACCACTGAGGTGACCTACAGCCATAGTCACTCACACCCCAGAGAAAGAATCACTCATACCTTTGCTCCCACTCCCACTTCCAAGAAGGAGTTACTGTGCTGCCTGGGATGGGGGCTGCTTCCCAGCCCTGCAGCACCCTGCTCCATGGCCTTATCTTGCCCTGGTAACTCAGACACCTGAATTATCTCTGCTGCAGGCTGGCCCATGCCTGGGCCCCAGAGCACCTGTCACACCAAGTGTACCCAAGCTCCAGATCCCTGTTCTGTGGCTGCTCTGGAATTTGCTGAAGACATAAAACAAATTGAGAAGTGTTTGTAGGCATACATAAGAGAGATTGTGGGTTTGGTTCCAGAACATCACAGTAAATTAAGTGACTATCATAATAAAGCGAGCCCCAGAACTTTTTTGGTTTCCCAGTGCATATAGAAGTTATGTTTACACTACTCTTTAGTCTATTAAGTGTGTATTAACATTATGTCCAAAAAAGTGCAGACCTTAATTAAAATATTATTGCTAAAAAATGCTGACACAAAGACATGAAGTGAGCATATGCTGTTGGAAAAATGGTGCTGATGGACTTGCTTGAGGCATGGTTGCCACAGAACTTCCATTTGTGAAAAACACAGGACCGGCAAAGTACAATGAAGTGAAAGGACAGCAAACCGAGGCATGCCAGCGTTCTTGAAAAAAAATCCTAGAGCTTTGGGTAAGAACAGGAAAAGTCTGTGGATTTTTGCCTGGAACTGCTCCTTTACTTCCCAGCTCAGTCACAAAGAACTGTAGAACTCAAGTTTTACCAACATAAAACGGCAGCAAAAATTGGCAGTTTGTTACCATGGCAGTAGACATGCTACTCCAGTGTTTCCAGATAAATGTGCTGAACTCCACAGGAAAGGAACAGAAAAACCCCACAGCTTTGCTATTCCAAGGTGATGGCCTTGCTTGGAGCAGCTGGTAGACCAGCTGAAAGTTAATAGAGGATTCCTGGAAGTGATAGAGCCAGAGAATTGCTGAGATAATCTCTCCACATATTCCTGCTGACTTACAACTACACAATGAGTGACAGAGAGACTCAAGAGGACCCAGTAAAAAATACGCACACGAGGAGGTCAGAACTGCTGAAATTTGTGTGCACTCTTCAAACCACACACAGAGGAACTGGCAGGAGGTAAATTACTGAGCTTGAGGTGTTTGAGCAAAACTAATGCCAAAGTCATTGACAACTACTAAACTATGCAGATCCAGGGGAAACTTTTAGCTAAATATTAAGAATTAAAATTACAAAGGAGCAGAGATATCAATGTCCAAACAGCAAGTTAGAGATAGATTCTCCAGTATAAGTCCAGGCAAGTTAGTAAAAAGAAATTCAACAAGGCTTAAAAATAAAATGGAATCCAGAATTCTGTATTATTTGAGAGACATGCAAGAATATATTATCTAAAATACTTAGTTTCCCATAAAAATTCCTGTAAAGAAACAGGAAAGCATCATCGTTATTGAGGAAAAAAATAGTGGAAGCTATGATTGTTCCTAAATATCATTTATCAAAGACCTTAAGTCAGTTATGTAGGTAGCTCAAGTAAGTTTTTCAAACTAGGATTCATGACTGAAAAAGAAAAATATAAAGACAATGAGTGAACAAGTAGGGACCGCCAACTGAGAAACAGAAACTATGGAAAAGGACCAAATGGAAACTCTAGAGCTGAAAAGTACAAAAGCACAACTGAAAAGTTCACTAGCTAGGTCAACAGGAGTTTACACTGGCAGAAGAATCAGTGAACTTGAAGACAGGACAATAGAAATGCTCTCATCTAAAGAAAGAAAGAACAAGTTTAAAACATGAAGACAACCTCAGAGATTTATAAGTTAATTGAAAAATACCAACAAATATGTAAAGAAAGTCACAAAGGAGAATAAAGAAAGTGGCCTGAAAAATATTTGAAGAAATAATGACAAAATATTTTAAGAAGTAATGAAACACAGTAACATATAGATCAAATAAAGCAGTGGAACTTATTCAGGATAAACTAAGCAATATTCATAACTGTGCACATTATAGTTAAAAGGGTGAACCAAAGACAAAGGGAAAATCTCAAATGCATCAAGAAAAAAATGGCTCACTATATACAGGGAAACAATAATAATAAGGCCATTGGCTAACTTTTCACCATGACCAATGAAGGCTAAAACACAGTGGAATGACATATTTAAATGCTGAGAATAAAAACTCAACCAAAGATTCAATATCCAGGGAAAATATGCTTCAAAAATAGAAGCAAA